GCTTCCAAGACCGTTTAGGGTGTTGAGGCAGTCGTACACTAGTTTGGATGTTATTATGTGGGACCTCAGTGCTAGCAAGGCAGCCTGACTGTCCGACATAATGCAGATGTTTTTAGAGGATGTGCCTCTTCTGAGGCATTCTCTGCCACAGATATCGTTCGCATGAATCTCTGCTTGGAAAATGGTGGGGTAGCTGCCCATTGGTATCGATCTTTTAAAATTCGGCCCAAATATACCAGCTCCAGTTTTTCCATCTTCAAGTTTTGATCCGTCAGTGTACCAAACTTCAGCTCCGGGTTTGGTGTAGGGGTTTCCTATGCTCCAGGATGCTCGGTCCGCAATAGATACCTTGAAATTCCTAGAAATTACTAGTATCGGAGCTACTGAGTCCCTCATATGCATTATGGGGTCATTTGTGAATTTCATAAGGACCTTCATATGACCTGTCATGTTTCCGGTTTTTAACTCGGAAGTGTTTAGGATTCTCAGTGCCGAGAGACTGGCCTCCCTCTCTATTAGAATTGGGAAGGGCGGTATGCCTACAAGAGCACTAAGTGCATCAGCAGGACAGGTCCGCATAGCCCCTGTTATACCAATGCACACCATTCGGTGTAGTTTGCTTAGTTTTGCGCTAGCAGTTCTTTGTGTCGCTTTTGTCCACCATGCCAAGGATGCATAGGTGACTATCGGCTTCACAACTGTGTTGAATGACCAGTAAGTCATTTTGGGGGAGACTTCCCGTAAAGTCGCTTGCAGGCGAAGAAGGCTCTCATTGCCTTGTTTACGGTTGCATCCAAATGTACATTCCAGGTGAGTGTCTTATCTAGCCACACCCCCAGGTATTTTGCTTCATTTGAGAGCCCTATTCTAGTGCCGCCCAGAGTCAATTCTGTCATGGATAACTTTTTCCTCCGGGTAAACGGAACCAGAATAGATTTAGTAGGATTAATGGATAATCCTTTGGTGTCACACCATCTTTGCGTAATGCGCAGGGCTTGTTGCATGCGGTTGGAGATCGTTTCGTCATGCAGCCCTGTTACACAAATTACCAGATCGTCTGCATATCCTTGTGTTTCAAAGCCATAGTCGTTCAGTAGGAACAGGAGTTCGTCTATAACCATAGTCCACAGAAGAGGAGAGAGTACACCCCCTTGAGGGCAACCTCTTGTGGCTGTAATCGATTCTTTCGTGCCTCCCAGCTCCATCCTGATCTTCCTTGTTTTTAACATAGAAAGCACCCAATTTATTATGATGGGGCTCACTCCCTTGCATATCAGGGCATTTCTTATTGCCCTGTATGACGTGTTGTCAAAAGCCCCTGAAATGTCAATGAAGGCACAAATGGCTATGTTCTTAGACTCCAGAGCCTTTTCGATTTTCGATGTAAGGCTGTGAATGGCAGTCTCAGTGGACTTGCCTGGTTGATAGGCAAATTGGTTCTTATTCAGTGGTCGTTCCGCTGGGTTGACTTCTCTGATGTGTTGATCCAAGATTTTCTCCATGCCTTTTAGGAGAAAGGAGCTGAGGCTAATTGGTCTGTAGGATGAAGGCATTTGCTCCGGTTTACCTGTCTTCGGTAAAAATACCACCTTAACCTCTGTCCATCTACTGGGTATGTGATCCAGTAGGAGCGACGCAATGTATAGTCTGGAGAGGACTGGGGCTATGTAGTTACTTCCTTGTTGGAGTTGACAAGGATAGACCCCATCTGGTCCTAGTGATTTGTATGGGCTGAAGGTAGATACCGCCCATTGCACTCTTTCTACCGTGGTAAGTTTAGTTGCAAGGCTTTGCTCTCTACCAGAAGTGCGTGCTGGGACACCCAATTCCGGTAGATAATAGCCCGCTTTGCAGCCCGGGAAGTGAGTGTCTAGCAGAAGTCTGCAAGTCTCTCCCGGATGCTGAGTATAACTACCATCTGGTTTCTTTAGAGTGCCGATCGTATTTTTGTGTTCCCTATTTAGAGCTTTTTGGAGGCGTACTGCCTCTGGGAGGCTCTTTATTTCCTCGCAGTGGTTTCGCCAGCTAGCTCTTTTGGATTTCCGCAATTCTTTGTTGTAAGAAGTTAGTGCAAGTTTGTACGGATTCCAATCACCCGTATTCTTTGCTCTATTGAATAGTTTTCTGGCTTGGCATCTCATTTGCTCAAGCTTCTTGCTCCACCAAGGCACATCATGTTTGGATTTTACCTTTCCTTGGGTACAGCTACTATTGAAAGCTATTCCAATGTCTGAATGAAGCTGTTCAGCTTCAGTCTCAAGCTCGTGCGCAGTCGTAATTTGACCACCATGGCTGTTTCCACCTTCTTCCATGATAAAGCGAAAGAATTCCCAGTTCGTTTTTCTGGGATTTCTAAAAACTAGTTCATGCTCAGGAAAGTGGCCAATGTCGAATTCTATGTGCATATGGTCCGACATTGATACCTCCCCTGAGACGCGCCAGTTTGTGACAGACGCTGCCATGTTCTGACTACTTAGAGTAAGATCTAAGACTTCCCCTCTAATAGCGTTCCTGAACGTTGGTTCATTGCCATGGTTTATAATACTTATATTATAACTACTTATAAACTCAAGGAGGTACTTACCCCTTTTGTTGGTGTCGGTGCTCCCCCAGACAGTGCTATGGGCATTTGCATCACAGCAGAGGATCCAGGGTATACCACTCTGCCGGCAGTGATCAGTACGCGCCTTTACTTCAGGTGTCGGGGCTATCTCCTCCTCACCCGGGAAGTACGCGGAGGCAAGTACTGCCTCTTGCACCCCCCTAGGAGTCGGAATTTTGGCCCATACCGCAACGAGATCTGCCGTAATGAACTGTGAAAGAGGGAGAAACGTTAGTTTGTTACATAATAGCATCGCCGCTCTTGGGCGACAGCTGGCGGCATAGATAATCTTACCGTCCTTTATATTAAGGCCTTTGACGTCACCTCTTAATATCCAGGGTTCCTGGATGAAGGCTACACCTAAGCCTTCGTTTGTGAACCTCCTATGTAAAACATCTGATGCTGCTTTCGCGTGGTGAAGGTTCACTTGGAGGCATTTAATGTGCCTCAGATTTGCGGAGTTTTTGGGGTGAGGTGCCATTACTTGCGGTCTTTTCGGCCGCGAGCAGCCACCTTCTTCCCCCTGTTGCCCTTCAGCAAGACCGCTTCTTCGGCCGTCCTTGCATCTCCCTTGCCTTTGCGGCTGGAAATAGCCGCTTTGGAGCTGCCATGTAGTGGTGGCTGTTTTGCAGGCTTTGGGGATGCGATGGGTCCGACGCTCTTTTGGGCTTCTTCCAGCACCTGTTGTAGGGTCGGGCATGTTGTTGTTGCTGTTTTCGGAGGCGTTGTTGGAGCTTTGTGTGTTACGTGTAGCTCTGTGCCAACCTCCGATGACTTCTGCTGCACTTGCGTGTCATTGGGTAGCTGCCTGGGAGCTACGATGACGTCTTTGGAGCAGCAAGGTTGCTCCTCCGAGTTAGGGTATTCGGTGTCGGCGGAATCTTTGTCTACCACGGGAATCGACGGTTTGGCTTTCTCCCTAAGTTTTACTACGCCAAAGCCATAGTTTGCCACGTTCCCGCGGTGCTTTAGCGTGTCCGCTGATAGCGGGTCAACTGCAATGGTGATTTCCGCCATTGTTGACCTGAGTACTCGATTCAGAATGCGCCAGTCCGGAATTCTCAGGCCGTCATTCTGTGCCTGAAGCAGACTGAGCGCATCCTCACTGGTAGAGCTGTCCAGCTCCGGGAAGAGTCCCACAAGAATGATGCGGCGAGGTGTTTCTGCCTCCTCGACCACTTTCATCTTCGCCCCCTTCCATGGTGCCAGCTTTGGAACAGTGTTCCGTATCCACCCCGCGGTCGCAGCATCTCTGCAACTGATGGATAGCCATCCCGAGTGGAAGGTGCAACCCTTGAAGATAGGCTTTACAGCGCTAACTGTGTTGCTCCTGACCGCCCTGAGGATGGCATTTTGGATAGCTTTGAGCTCATCCGTTGACCACACTGTGGTTGGATAGTCCTCTGGGACTAAACCCAGCTTCACTCCGCACAGTGCATCCCTAAATGAAACTGGCTCCCCGCGACAATCTGCAGGTGCATGCGGCACAGTTGCCTCACCGGTGGGCACAGATGCAGTCCCAGCTGGCCTGCCCCCTGCAGATCCCTCACTAGATTTGGCAAATTTCTTCGGGCATCGCCTCTGCGGTGTAGAGCTATCAGACCTAGGTCTTTTTTGGAGAGTTTTTTTTCCCTCCGTGGTGGGCCAACGGGTTCTTTGGCTTTTTCTCTAGCCTGCTCATAGCTCATTCCCTTTTCTATGTACCGCTTGAGGCGTTTCCGACCGGCTCCGCTAAGCCGCTCCCGCTCTCGAGCTTGGTGAGATGGGTTGTTCACCGGAGAGGCAAGCAACTTCTGCTCATCCTCCGGCGAGATATCAGATAGCGTTCTGACGGGACTTGCATCCTGTCTCACGCTAGTATCCACCATCTCTACGTCATACGAGGGACTATGCGCCCCCAGTAGTTCTGTAGCGATGGTTTCTGTTTCGACAGAAGTCGAAAGGCCAGCATTGGCCATTGTTTGGAGCTGTGCAGCTCCTTCTGGCTTTTGATTTAAGTTGTTGTTACTTTCCATGTGTGTCCCACGAGTATGGGGGAAGGGATGTCAGCTGGGACATAGCCCCCAATATCCCGAGCAAGACTTCTTACAACCAGAGGGCGCCAGGTATCTGGAGGCCACCGTTATAAGACACACTTACGTAGTGCCATTAATCCCATAAGCACGGTACGGATGACACTCGGAATTACGGGTTTTATCGAGTTGTCCTCTCTAGATCCGCCATATTCAGTAAAAGCAGGGGCACCTCTCGCAGGGTGTGACTCGTCGCCACGTATGGTCGGTCTTGAGCCATCCGCTCCTGACTCAGAACATTACAACACGTATGAAGCAATATCAAGAGCCTTGACCCCCTGACAGCTTTGTAGCAACCCTGTGTTATTGTTTATTTAACCAAAAGAGATCGCGAATGTGAGTAATTGCGTATATTTTTATATCCTGAGTCGTTTGTGGTAATTTTTTAGATTTTAGATGAGTGATCAAAAGAGAAAGCTTCTGGAAATACTTTACAAACTACCACGCGCGATTATTAAAAACAAAACCGTCCAAACACAATAACATATCAGTTATGGGACAATACTTTTTTCGATTATTATCGATAAAATTAGAGCCGACACTGATTTGTTCGTGACTTGGTTCTTGGTTTAAGATAAACTACGTACTTTCAACTTAATTTACTGAGAGACTTTACAAGGCGAAATTACTTAGTTTGTACTTAATTTATGCGTAAATTAAGATTGACCTCTAAATTACGCTAATGGGAACATAGTTTAAAGCTATTCATAGTCGCCTTAGTTTCGACTTTTCTGGCTAAGTACCAACTTAAAATTTACTTTCGGCTGCAGCTGCAACTAAGTCGTAACTAGGAAGAAGTATTTTATCAAATTAAGGGAAAACAGACGAAATATGTAAAAATTAAGTTGGTAGAGGGTGATTTTGATAATATTGAATAATCTCCTATTAAAATTTACAAAGATCGATCCATTTTATTCGGAAGAAGAAATTAAATACGTATTACAATTCGAATAAAGCTATATCACCAATTTATAATTGGAATAATTTAGATAAATTCTCAAATAATAAGTCAGTTTCACGCTAGTTCTTTTAAAGTAAATTTGTGCATAACATTTAGATATCTACTATTTGTATGTTTCACACCATGCTTTCGATAAACATCGACTTCACATCACTGCGGCTGTTCTGGCTATTTCACACAATTAACAAGAAAATGATACCTTATTCTTTTGCATAATCATGCAATGAAAATAAAAATTACATAAACGGATGATCAAACTTGACATGATTTAATAAAAATGTAATTTTTCCAAAATATCGTAGAGAAAAATCGATACGTTTTCACACTCATTTTGCTATATCGTAAACTAAGTCGAAACTACTTAGTAGAAGTCTGAAATGCGCCTATGAATAGAGGTAAATTTTAAGTTGGTACTTAAATTTAAGTTGCAACTTTGTTAGTTTCGACTTAGTTGCTGGACTATGAATACGCGCCATTGTCATTTTCAATCTCAAACAACGACAATTGTGAACAATTTAATTTTTTTATTTTCAATTTTATATGATTTTAAAATGTTGGCAAACGTCAGAAAAAAATCATGACCGACGAATTGAGAGAATGAATTTACCTTGTAATGTTTTTATCATGGGTGGCACCGTCAGACGTACCGCTAATTTGAATTTGTCGATTTTGATAATTCTGATCTAAAAGTAAACGATGCATCAGAAACTTTAAATGCACTGAAATTCACTTATACTTCCACAAAAATTACCGTTTTTTCACATTTTCCTTATTAATTGTCATAGTATATCATATATTTTTAGAACTTAGCACAATTAAAACCCGTTTACTATCGACAAATTTATTATTGAGAAAATTGACTTCTCTGGCATTTTCTTTTAACATGCAATTCGGCTTTGTTTACTTTTTGTACAGAAATATCATCGCCACTATGACGGGGCAATCTTGTACTCTTTCTTGTCAAATATGCATTTTGATGTATGCTATGAAGCTATGAATACTCATTAAAATAGGTCTCAAATTTGTACTTTTGCTGTAGAAATTTTAGGTCTATTACTATGTTTATACGTAAGCTATTTGCAAATAAAAATAATTTGCAAATACTTAACTCACTGTTTATTCGATGGTGAAAAATTCTTTTTTAATATTGCCTGATTATAAAAAGGCAATAATATGACCATCGAAAAAGAAAATAAAACTAAAAATGGCAACGTCTTGATTATAAAAAGGCATTAAGATGACCATCGAAAAAGAAAATAAACCTAAGATTGGCGGCGTCTTGCGCTTATTTGCAAATAGTACCACTAATCAATACTTATTTGCGTGATTTAGGGCCGGTTGTTCAATGTCTGGTGTTCACTACTTGCCGGTTAAACATCATTATCGACGATTTCGACATCATGCATATAACATGTGATCGATAAAGCAGTCGTTGTATCTAACCGGAGCTTCTACCTCCGATTTTTGCTAATCAGACATTGAACAAGCGGCCCTTACCGCAGAACTCCACAGGCAAACACCGATGGCCTACCAACTGTCATTTTGACGAGCAATGTGATTGCAAGTTTTTGTGTGTGGGCACTTTGATGTCTTGAAATAAGCATTTGCCGCATGACGCCACCAGACAACATTCTCTCAATTTGGGTGTTTAAAAACATTTAAATCTTTAAAAAACTTGCTGAATAATTTCCTAAAACGTAATCATAAATAATCCAATAAGGAACAGACTTTTATTTTGATTTAATAAGGGTATTCATCAAACCTTATAAATGCATTGTAAACCGTATAAACTTATAATTGTGTAAACCTTATAAATGAACTGTCAAAATTTGTATGGAAATTCGTTTACACATTTCTGATAAATTTCTCCAGCGATTTCACTGAATAAACTTGATAAACTGAAGTCAATGCAACTCTGTCGCAACTCCAGCTATGTTTTCTTGGGCAATAATCGGGATACACATAAAAATTTTGCACGCAAAATCAACAACAACGATGTGATCCTGATAGAGAACTGGTTCAATTATTATCCTTTCTTTTTATTTTGTTTCACTGATAATTTGGCGGCAAAGTTTGGTAGCGTGACAAATGAATTCATACACAAATAGACATCCTGCCATTGTTTCTTTTAACTTGCTTCAAATAAGTAGCCTTTATTTTATATGTATATTTATTTAAATAGATATTATCTCGTAAATATAATTTTTTCCCATTTAGTGAGTTAGTTTCTATAATTTCTTTATCCTCGTGCTAGTAGTATAAAGTTAGTGATACTGAGCTCTATAACCAAAGAAAACACGACTATTGTCGCATGTGTAAACGAAAAGAGAGTGTGGGTCGTTCATGTAACGAAGTGCGTAATGGGCTGTTTTTGCTTACGCGTAAAAGCACATTTAGCGCATTTAGCTCTAAATGCTACTCTAAATGTACATTTATCCATACAAAATTCGTCACCTAAATGCAACTAAATGCAACTCCATTTATGCATTAAGAATCTAAATGCTAAAAGCAACCCTGTGATCTTCCAAAATTTCCACGATTCGAACATGGTTTAATGTGAAAAAGTGGCAACATTGCTTTTTCGAGTATACAGTCGCTAGCTGCGTTTCAGTGATCGCCGATCGAGATTTCATTTATTATTTTACATTATTTGGATAAAGAAAAGTTACGCAAATTCAACATCATCGATATGATGCTGATAGAAATCTGGATTAATTTGTGATCAACTCTGTTTATTTTGTTTCCTAATTAAGTATGGAAATTATAATTGACAGCACCGACAAATGAATATATACACAAACAAATGTTGGGTTATGGTTAAAACAATTCAAGTTTGGAACAAATGCACAATACCACCAAATCTCGAATTAAAAAAAAAAAAATATGATCGATAGAGACCATTGAGGTGAACATAACGGTATATTTATTTTTTTTGGGAAACAACAACTACAACAATTATTAAAGGTCAAAGTTCAAATTAAGCATTTTCTCAAATTAATATTTCTCGAAAACCTCTTCGAGGAATTGGACAATTTTGATAGAGAATTTAATTCTCTTTAATTTGATATACATATTTATACATATACCTTTTTATAGTTTTCACGAAAATGGAATTAATATGGAAAAAAAGTATACAGGGTTTTTGTGTATAAACTTCTTTTTGCGTAGGCGGCCTTCGGCCGCACTTATGGATTATAACCCTCACAAAGTAGAATTCTCTTTCTGTGTTGCGAAGAAAAGGCGCTGAACACCTTTTGCAGAGAACACCTTTCTGCGTAGGCGGCCTTCGGCCGCACTTATGGATTATAACCCTCAAAAAGTAGAATTCTCTTTTTGTGTTGCGAAGAAAAGGCGCTGAACACCTTTTGCACAGAACACCTTTCTGCGTAGGCGGCCTTCGGCCGCGCTTATGGATTATAACCCTCAAAAAGTAGAATTCTCTTTCTGTGTTGCGAAGAAAAGGCACTGAAACCCCTTTAATAATTTTTGTAGTTGTTGTTTCTCAAAAAAAAAAAAATACATCGTTACACTCACCTCAAGGATCTCTATCGATCCCCATATGCATTTTTTTAATTTGAGAATTGTACGTATTCTGCATTTATGCCTCAAGTTTTTGTATTGAATTTTCGGTTTAGAATTTATTTTTTCCTTTTCAGTGGGGGTTTTTGCACATTATCTTTTCTGTGAGCATTTATCGTAATAGATACGGATCTGAATAAGCGACTGGAACACGGCTGTTTGTCAAAAGCATAGGATTTCGAACTCGCGTAAATGTACATTTGCTAAATGCGGTAGCATGAACGCTCTTCGAAAACATATGTTCGAAAGTGCTAAACGTTGCATTTTAAATGCAGCAAAAACGCTGCATAAGCTTATAATATTATCTGCTTGATAGTTATCGGTTTAGATGAATACCACTAATATAAAAATTTCATCGATGTTACCACCTTTCAAATGAAAATATGGCTGTCAAACTATCGAATTGCCTGCAATAGATGTCAAGCAATAAGCGCTGACATATATTGCAGCACATGAGAAATAGGCGGTCTCCATTGGAAATATATTTTGTGACATAGTTTTCACATCAGTGTTTTCCTGTGGAGACAGGGCCTTAGTTATTTGCAAATAAAAAAATAACTCAGCGTTTATACGGCAAAGTTTACCATTTTGCAAATTGTTATTTGCAAATAATACGTGCATATAAACGTAGTATATGTTATGTACATATGTAGTTTGAATATTGTCAATTAAATCTAATGCTTTGTATTGCATGCGCTCCACGTTTTTCGTTTTCAATCTCTTAAATTGTTTATAATGACTTTTGCTAAAATTTCAAAATCAAAAGTTATCAAAGCAAGTTCTATGGGACTGAGAAATATTATTTTCTAATTTTTGTCCATTTATAAAAGCGTGGTA